GGCTACGGACCATGCAGGAGATCCATAGGTCAGCACCGGGCGTATCATTTGCTTGTAAACTCTGGCCTTAGTTCGTAGGCAGAGTTTACCTGACAGCAGAGGATAGCAGGCATGGAGCAGGAGTCTTGCCTTGGCGATGGTGTTTGCCATATGGTCGTGCCATACTAGCCGCTTGTCGTATGTAAGTCCAAGATAGGTTATCTTGGACCTCCATGGCAGCTTCTGTTTTGCAAGCTCTAGTAGGCCGAATCGGGGTGTGCACGTCCCACTCCCATACATACAAAACTTTACCACTTCACGAGAATAAAATATCTCCTTTCACTAAAACTCAGGCCAATTGACAACGCCGCGGGGAATCAAAAGGCATAAAGGCAGGTATTTGCCTTTTTGCTTTGTTGAAATATCGAAATCCAGATGTTGATTGGTACTGAGCAGCATCGTAGGCGAGCCCTGTTATTTCAAATCACATGTTATTTTAAATATCGATAACAGGTACCGACTGTTCCATATCGATGTCTGTTCCAAAATACCTGTGACAAGTATTTCGTGTCATCCCTATTGTGCACGAAGCATCAAATGTTCCAGTCGACTTTGCACGCAGCGAGTAAATTTTTGGTACTTTTTTTCGCTCGCGTTTATTGCTAAATAAGTGTGTTTGGCGCTGTGGTCCAAACTGATACTTCGAGAGGCGCCATAAATTAATCGATAGAAATCCTGGGTGTTAATCACACGACCTTAAAGCTTCCAGTGCGTCTGTGGAGACAATTATTTTGAAAACAGTCCGGTAAAGTTGCCCACCTGATTGGGCAAATGACCGTCCCCAAACGTGAGCTTATCATTTCTCATGCTAACTTCGATGTTCATCAATTTCTTCTGTTATTTACAGATGTCTGGTAGTTTTGCAAGCTCACCACAAATTTACACAGCAATATTTTTATTTTATGTTATGTAAGTTTGCGATGGTTTCACAACTTATTTTGCGTGTTTTACTTGTTTTATTAGATTGCCACTGGTAGTGTGAAAAAAGCAGCGTAGAAGTAACAGAAGCGATCTAAAAACACTGTTTTCGTGACTTGGAGATGGTGGAAATTGTCCGGAAAAGGTTATGTTTGATAGATTTCTGCCCGTACATTCCAGGTCAAAGGAAACCGTATAGTTAGTCTTTGTACTACAACGGGAAATCCCATTAGAATCAGAAGGTTGATAAAAATATCTGGATGTCTCTAAAAGACCCTGGAAGTTGCTAAGGAAAAGAACGTGAAGTTGCTGAAAGGAGAACGTTGAAGTTTCGGCTACGACCTTCTTTGGCTCAAGAGGAGGCGATGTGACCTAACTTTTATTAAGAAAAAATGTTTGACGCCTCTGCTATTGACTGTCAAGTTTTTTCTAAAAAAGTATGTTTTTTGAAACTTTGGGCGAATGGGGCGATGGATTGTAATTAAACTCGCTGTGAATTTGTTCTAATGTAAGTACAGAAAGGAGAAATCAGCAGAACTTTTTATTTAGAGGCTGAAATCAACTGATTTTTTTTCGAGTTGATGCACTACTTAATAGGTTTTTGGCATTTTTGTGCTCTTTATACAATTTTGTAGCATTTAATTTTCAAGGAAAAAAATTGTTTTTTAAATTCCGTCTTAACACTCTCGATATTACAAAAAACAATTTGGGTTTTGTTAATGTAAAAAATTAATTATTGCTGAAAATTGTTATTCGCCTGAAAACAGAAATAATTTTCTCACGCGAAAACTGTGAATTTTTTTTGGAAACAGCACAAAAATGTCAAGAAAAGATCTGGGCTTCAACTAAAAAAAAATCAATTAATTCTAGTGAGTAAATAAAAAGTTTGGAAGTTTTTGTTGGAGAACCAAAACACTGAAAAAATTCACCAATATCGCAAAGCGGAAGAAAACGAGTTTGACTAAAATTCAATCAATCAAATCATTTTCTCAATATTCCAAAAAAAAATTACTATTTGACTATTAATAGCAGAAGAGCCAAACATTTTTTCCTAATAAAAATTACGTCAGATCGACTTTTTTTAGCCAAAAAATGTCGCAGTACCCTTTTGATCATGTGCTTATATGACCCTCTATATTGGTTAATATCTACTAATTTAAGTTTGAAATAGATTGGAACGAAGGTTTGTTTTTTGACTCAAAAAGAGGAAAATAAAGTTTCTGGAAAGTGAAGTTTTCCAACGTTTTCCTACTCGCTTCCATTTTATTTAATCAAGTTGAAACATTTGCACACGTGGGACAATAATAATAACGTCACTTTTTCATAATTTGACGACGTTTCGACCGTGTTCTTCAGGGCCAAAGGAGCAAAAACAACAATACAGTAAGCGAAGACAGAATCAGATAATAAATATCTCATTCGAAAGTAGAACCAATCACATCAAAGAATGATAAAAGAACAAATTTAAAGAGAAACGAAAGTTTCCAGCCTAACCATTAAATTAATAAATCAAAAATAAAAATACCCAAATAATGCCCATAAAATATTAATTCTAGTGAATGCATCCCCAAGGCAAAGCACAATTTTTTTAAATTTATTATTCACATTTTTTTTTCTACGCCACAGAACGAGCCGTGCGTGCTTTTGTGAAAAAGAACAGAAAGGAAGAGTAGAAAAATGAAGCGATGAAAAAACGAGGAAAAAGATGCAGATCGATATCAACATTCCTTCTTAACTACCACTGATTGGGGGCAATTTCCAGCATTAGTTCGGTTCCTTTTGTGCCTACTGCAGAATGAAATAAGATTTTAAAAATTTGAAAAATAATTAGTGTCACACATAATTTGTGCCCTGAAGGAGACCTAAATAAAGGTCGAAACGTCTCCATCTAACATATTAGTGTCCCACACCCTCTTTCCACTATCTTTACGGTTCAGACACAAAACGAAACAAAAAGTTTTGCAATGCAATTTTTGTCCTGTATGACAAACTCCGGTTCAATCAAAAGTGTTAATGCAGAAGCCAAGAAAATCTTTCACTTTCTCAACACGACCTGAAGGCTTGTAAGAAAGTAAGAAAATGAGAATTTAACGCAAACTCGCCAACCCGCAAACGGGTTTATTTTGAATACAGAGAATAGAACACAATGAATGCCCAGTTGCTCATCTTTGATTGAGCCAAAGACTGAATTTAACTCGAGTCTATTTCCAGTTGATGTTTGTGTGAATAACCGTGAACATTTCCATCCGGATTCAGAATCAATAAAATTCCCTGTTTAATTCCAGGCAAAAATCGATGAAGATCGCGAACTAAAGGTCCTGGAACGGCCCGATCAGGCCGACCAAGTGGCAAAGCGAAGCTCCACCGGAAACCCGCCCTTAAACGCTCCAGATGGGCTCAATGAGCCCATGAACCAAATTGACGAAATTGTGAGAGCTTCAGGTATTACGGTGCCACCGGCAGCGGCCAATCATTACCCATTGAGACAAGGAGGAGAGGACAGAGAGGAGTCGGTGCGAGAGAAACGGGACAAAGTTAAAGAGGTAAGTTCGCATGGATATTCGATTTGCTATTTCCAGCTTATTTAATTGCGGAATATCAAGGCTGGGCCTTGGGTTCTATATGGCTTCCGTTCAAATAGAGCTCTTATCTTTGGCATGGAAGCGGTTACATTAGCGAATCGTGCATAATTGTATGCTTTTTGCGGTTTTATTATTACTACTGGAGCCAAATTAGTTGCGAATCGAACTGGTAACGTCTTCTTTGTCGTCTTCTCGCTTGATTTCCAACACGTTGCCTGGATAGGTGACTTCGTAGGGACCGCCGTCGTTTTCCACCACCCACACTGATCCAGCTTTTGCCTTGTCCAGGATATCAGCCAGACCTTTGGCCACGCTTGTTGTCTAGAGTTAAGATTAGTTGCTTGATTTAAATGTAATAAAGTGAGGAGTGGGGTTGCACCTTCTGAGCAGTGGAGCCCTCGATTTCATCTGCATGCTCCTGGGCAAATCGGTCGTTGATCGCCTTGGCTGGCGCCTCCAAAAGCAGCTTGGTGTCGGTCAAGCCTGGACACAAGGCGAACACCTTCACTCCCGTTCTATGGATGTGGTTGCCTAAAATGCACATTTTTTCTAAATGCCTCCGTTAGTGTGAGCTCACTGTCTATGCAAGTTTTACCACATCCGATCGCTTTGGAGAAGCCGCAAATCCCAAACTGAGTCATGGTATGCAGTGGGTAACCTGAGGAGGGAATTATTCCGAGAATTGAGCCGATGTTGACGATGATTCCTCCATAGCCCTTGCTGGACTTGGACATGTACTGAAGTCCCAATAGGGTTCCAACCACAGATCTGGAATTGACCAGGTGAAGATCTACAGTTCCAGTGAAGTAACAAGTGCTTACCCGGTCATATTGGTGTATATTTGCTTGTCCCACAACGTGTCGTTCATAATACCGGCACTGTTGACGATAATTTCGGGAATATCGTGAAACTGCATCGATTTCCGGTAGACGTCGTCAAGGCCCACTGCATCAGCTACATCAGCTTCGAAGAATAGAACCTTTTCTCTGCCAAATTCTTTGGTGAGTGCTGCTGCTGCTTTTTCACCGCGTTCTTCATCGATATCTATGATCGACAGGTGAGGAACGCCTGAAAGGTTGAGTTGATTCATCCTCAGTCTGGATGGTTGTTAATGGACTGAAATCACCTCTTTTGAGGAATTCGCGTGCGATTTCAAAACCAATCCCAGACGCGCCGCCGTTTATAATTGCCGACTTTTCTGCCAAGTTGAAATCCTCCTCCATTTCCTCGACTGTATCGTTCTCTGAGGCGGCCGAACAATGTTTCTTAATGAACAGGTTTCGGCTCCTCATTAGGCTGCTGGTCGCCCTTGCGGCTCTTCGCATTAAAACCATGTTTGATGGGAAATTTTGTAGACTTGGAATTTTCTCTGGGTTTTCTCATGGACATTGACGTAATTGTCACGGCGAAAAAATGCGTTCCAACTTCCACGAGATTGAAAAAAGACCTGAAATCGAATGATCCATTTGGAAATATTGGTTTATAGTGGATGGAACACTGGGCGAGATCCACAGGGTGTTTGGTGGTGATTTCGTTAGGTTTAGTTGATTTGAAGTTCTGCTAAAAGAATTTTCCCAGATTAGTGTTCAATTTATGGTAAGGAATAACTTTGGTTGAAACATGAAGTCGTGACTTTAACTCAAGTTATAAGTGGAATTTTGCGTTCATTTTTGTTTTTTGCACAATTACTTTTTGTAATAAAGTTTTTAGCAGGAGTTGGAGTAGGAAATCATTACAGTCCGGATTGAAAGCACTAAAATTATCCAAAAGCAAGTCCTTAAAAAGCAAGAAAAGCTTGATATGTAAAAATCATTAAAAGTGCACAAAATTCCTTCAGTAGGGTACAAAATATACAGGGTTGCTCATTAGTGCGTCAAAGTGCGATATCTCAGTAAATATGAAGTTTACAAGAAAATTCGTCCAACGAAAGATTTTCACGTTTAAAAGGTCCACATTCTAAAATTACTTTATAATATACAGGGTGCATCATAAACGTGTGGTAGTTACCAACTCTGGTTTTTTAAATGAACCCCCCCCTTTTTTTTGTTATTTTCAGATTGGCCGTTCAATTTTAATTTATGTTTGTTTCAACCGTTTTACCTGAAAAATTTACGATTTCCGAGTTATTCGTAAAAATGTGAAAGTTTTGACAGCTACTGGGTTCCACAGAAATCGATGCTGTACACTACCCGCTGCGAATTGTGGAAAATAGTTTTCAGCGATTCTAACAGAACATCATGATCTACGTGTAGATATGTTTTAAATTATAAGGAAATACTTCTAAACCGCGCAATTAGCCTCTAAA